TTATGCATTATCCTTACCTCTGTTCTGGATCCAGTTATAACCAGTTTTTTAAGGACTGCAACCTTAACAAAAAATATTCTTACATTTAGGACCACCCTATAAGGTAATTTTACTTGGACACATCCACCCCTTTAGCCTAGCTTTTCCTAAACACTGGCAAGCTAAAACTGCTTCCATGCTAGGGAGCACAGAGCAGGTAGGAGGGACTCACAGCTGCTTGGAAATGTGAAAACAATGGAACAGCACTCAAAATAATCAAACCACATAAATAAACCTCATGGTGGTGAGGAGGTGAAAAATATTTTTAGTGCAACCTTGCTATGGCTGCAATATTCAAGGAAAAAAAAAGTTGTACAAAGGGCAATAAAATTTGGAGTGAATTTACCCAGAGTTGCCTGTTTTTTGTGACAGTGGAAACAATATCAGTCACATTAATATGGGTGGAGCTTGGTATAGACAGCCACAAGTACCTGGAAAAATATCTTCTATGAGTTGTTCCCCCTTTATGATGTGTAAAGTGTAAGGTGGCTGGAGAAAGCAAGCAGTTCATGTGCTAGAACTATTAATTTTTTGCAATGAAAGCAGCTCCTTAAAAGGCCTATCCAGAACCTCCATTGCATTGTCTGTATGCACCTGGTGAAGACCAGCTTTACCCCCGAAGAATGCAGAAGCCTAGGCAAGCAAAAAATACAAAAGCTCAACAAAAGCAGTGTTGGTTGACCTGAATTTGGGCTTCTAAGCTGCTAGGGGCAAATTGACTTTAAATTGACTTTAACTGATCTGAAGATTTTCACAGGTGCTCACAAAGCCTAACACCAAGCCTATGTTTCCATGGATGTACACCAGATGCAGAGATATTAACTTTCCTTATGGACTTTGCAATTGCTTGGTGAGTGAAGCATAAATTGTTTGTATGGATCAGGGAAAACACAAAACCTATCTTTCCACACAGTTTTTTGGTGATGCAAGGCAATAAGGAATAAGTTTTGTTCTGACTTAGCCCCATCCTCTTTTACGCCTTGTGGATTAAACTGCTTACGAAAATAGGTGTGAAAGTTCACCCATCACTGCAATCCTTCAAGCTCTGCATTGAGGGTAGATTTCCTAGTCACATATCAGTTAAAACAGAGGTGAGAGAAGAAAAAGAACAAAGAAAAGGGCAGCTCTCAGGAAAGGAAACCTAGTTCCTCCACAGCACCTACAAAACTGAAAGGAGGTATCTTAGCTCACCCATGCAGTCCCTGGAGCCTGGGTCCCAGGGTGTTTGGAAACTGTGGACTCAGAGCTACTACCCATCCATCTTTCCTTTTAAATTTTTTTCTTTCTTTCGCTTTTCCCAGCTTTTATGCTACATATTAGTTGTCTGAACAGTTACCATGCACTTGGCACTGTGGTAGGCAAAGGTTATTGGAATTTAAATGCGAAGTTTGATGAATATAGAGTTAAAAAATGCCTTGGAGACATTGCTGAAATGAGATGCCAAATCCCAGAATTTGTATCTTTATGAGGAAATTTGAATACAAAATACCAAGGTTTATGGCTCTTGCACATATTAATTCATACCAATCCATGTTCTAAGAGGACTAAAGGGGCTATTTTTCATCTTGGGCTGAGACAGGAACTCTTCCAGATTTACTGACTTGCTGAGAGAAATATGCTTTATTAGGCTGATACATATCTTCAAAATGTAAATCAGAATAGTGAGCTTATCACAAGACTGCCATTAGCAGCTTATAAAATTCTTGGTGTTGCAATTAACAAGAGATTTTGTGAGCAAGGTGAGCATACTGGTCAGCAAAAACAGATCCTAAAATTGACACTTTATTTTCTGTCTTACAAGAAAATACCAGGAATTAAATCAAAGCAATTTTTATTATACATCCATCTCCTTGGCAACTAGGAATTACCATGACTTTGTGGGATGGTCTAGATTTTAAAGGATATTATTATAATTGTGCAGGATCAATAATTGCAGTATTACCTGGAATCATCCCTGGAAGTGCTCAAGTCCAGGCTGGATGGGTTTTGAGCAGCCTGTTCTAGTGAAAGGTGTCCCTTGGCAGGTAGGTTGGAACTAGATGATCTTCAACGTCCCTTCCACTCCAAACCATTTTATGACTCTATTAGTCTATGAATTCTTAATTTATCTTTGGCCCAAGTGCTTTGTCTGGAGTGAGAAAGGAAAATCATTTGCCCAATGGAAGTCCCAGATTTTCTCCTTAAGGAGTCCTGTCCTTTTCTGTTGTCTCCAGTGCCCTATAGGAAGTCCTTTTGGTTTATACACTCTTCATTGCATTGTGAACTGTCCACTTCAGGATTATATTGTAGAGAAAGTCAGAGCTTGGAAGCTTGAAATAACAATGCTAGTAAATGGTCACAAAGGCCAGACATTTCCACTGTAAACAAACAATATTTACATTAGTACTTTCAAGTGCATGCAATAGCTGGAATGAGAGTAGCTGTTGCCAATTTGTCCTCTTGCTGGCAAAAGCACAGGCTGCACTCTCTGTGACTTCCATGCACACGTGCAAGCACACACAGGCAGATGATGTGCTTTCAAGCCATCCACAGATGGCTTTCCCCATCAGGGCTTTCTCTGCCATTTAGGCCTCCTGCTTCACATCCTCCTCTTGGTGCTTCAAGCCCTATTTTATGTAATTAACTTCTGTTCCTCCCCCCATTTTTACTTTTTTTTCCCCGTGAATGCTCTTTACTCTGATGCTTAGAGTCAACCGTCTCCCCAAAGCACTGTGATATTTGCCAGCATCCGGAAAAAATGTGGTTAGAGAATTGAGACACTTAAAGGAGACACGGCAGTCGTAAGTGTGCATTCACATTTTTGAATAGATATTCAGAGGGTGGGAATGTAGATGAGGGAGAAGCTATGAAAGGGCTTATTACTAATTAACTATATCTATTTCTCCCCCTTTTAAACTGCTTTTTGTTTATCATTTCAGCTGGTGGGGTAATACACTAAATTAAAGCTGCATAATACATTTATAATTAAGATTGAAAAAGCCAATTGCCTGTTACTAAACCACCAATTGATAATATTGTAAGGGATATTTATAGCTCTTTGGTATGTATGCCACAGATTTGCATCAATAACATACTTGCTTATCTCCAAACATTTTATTCAGTAGCCCTTTATTTACTATTGAAGGTAAGATTACTCTTCTCAAGCCATCCTTTCTAAAAGTGTCTCGCTTTCATCTTGTTTGTAAAGCTCAGCAAACACAGATGCTTCAGTCATTTCCTCTGCTATGAAATAGTAATAACAGTATGTAATTACCATCATCACACCATGCAGAAAACCTTACCATAAAGAACACACTCTACATAGTTCATCACTCCTAACATCTTGAATTTCTACAGCTCCTTCTTTCTGACTCATCTTGCATATCCTAAAGAGGAGATACCAAGCCACCTTACCCAGGGTGTGAATCAAGTAGTTTTGGGCAGAGCCCCAAACACAGACCCTTAGTTTTCATTCCTTTCACAAGAAGGTAGAGCAAGACTGTTTAGAGTTCTTAAAAAAATGCTGAAGTGATAGTTTTTGTTTCATGTGTCTTACTGGGAGCTTAATAACCCAAAATGAGTGCCAAAAAACTGCTAAGTGTATGAGCACTTGCATGTTGAGAAAGGACATGGCATAGACCAAACAGTGCTGCAAGTTTATATGGTGATTGAAAGTTAAAAAGAGAAGCAAAATGGCTACGTTCAAAAGGAGAGCCTGAATTTTGCCTGTAGCTAATGCCACAGGGGAGGATCTTGGAGACTGGTGCACACCATCCTAGCAAAAAAGCCTGGAAGAGCCCTTACAAAAATATAGCTTTTTGTCTATCTGCCCCTTTCCTCAGAAGGAGAATGAGAGCTAGAAATTAATGATCTACCCATTCTTCATCCATCCTGGATAGCAGGATAAACAGAAAGAAATAAAATTTCCCTATATCCTGCTCATGTGGGAAGAATGTCAGCAAACTTGTGTAAGTAAATATTCCCAAACCTGAAGCAGGGCTTCAACTTCTCCCAGCCACAACTGTCTCTCCAAGCCAGCCCAATCATGTGGGGTTTTTTAGCCTTCAAAGACACATCCTTGAAGTTTAAGCTGGAAAAGTGTCTGAGAGATTGGAAAAAAGGGAGATAATGGTGCAAGGAGGAATTGACAGGGTGCAAGGGAGGGCTATGAAAATGGGCAAGAGCTTCATTGTCACAACAATAGTAGGGGTTGCAGTGTGAAAGCATGTAGTTGTCAAAAAACTTGCCAGGGGCCTAAGGTATCACAGTCTCCCCCTGGATCCCTTCTCTTTGGAGCTAGATGCTGTCACCCTTTCCATGGTTTGGCTGAGCACAGGGTGAAACCAGGTGGCAATTTCACAAGTGATTTCTGTTTCTAATGCTGTCTATCATTAATTTTATTACAAGTGGGCAAGTGACTTGCCCCTGGACTGGCCAGATAATTACATGGTCATTATTAACCACATTACTGAAGGGTAAAAATGCAGTTATTTTTATCCATAAAGTCAGCTGCTTCAACTCTAAAACTAATTGCACATTATTATGCAGCAGAAAGTAATTATTATAGATACTGATTCTAGCTTCTATACCCAAAGAAGCAGACATTATTTCAAATGAAATCTTTCAGGATTTTTAATAAGCCTTGCAATCTGTGGTAGAAGAAAGAAAGAAAAAGAGAAACAGAGAGAAATAGAGAGAAATAGAGAGAGAGAAAGAAAGAAATAAAGAAGAAAGAAAGAAAGAAAGAAAGAAAGAAAGAAAGAAAGAAAGAAAGAAAGAAAGGAAAGAAAGGAAGATTTTATCATGTTTTTATAACACATAACTGTCCCATCCTGGACGACTGATGCCTTTAGGTATGATTCCTGAGAGGACGCATCACAAAGTCTCTCTGGAGGTAGATATTAGGCAAAACATAAGAAAGGTATCATAATTATTATATCATAATTGCTGATGTTCCTTTTCACTCTTTTCATCTCTTTCAGGTACAGTAGCGTGATTTACAATGGAAAAATTGCTCTGCGGCATCCTGGTGTTTGGAATGGCTGTCACAGTCAACGCTTGTCCCAAATATTGTGTGTGTCAGAACCTGTCTGAGTCACTGGGGACTTTGTGTCCCTCCAAGGGTCTCCTTTTTGTACCACTAGACATAGACCGAAGGACTGTTGAACTCCGTCTTGGGGGCAACTTTATTATCAATATCAGCCGGCAAGATTTTGCCAATATGTCTGGACTTGTTGACCTTACTTTGTCCAGAAACACCATTAGTTACATACAGCCCTACTCCTTCACTGACTTGGAGAGCCTTCGATCTTTACATCTGGATAGCAACAGGTTGCCTGAGATTGAAGAGGATACTTTAAGAGGTTTAATTAACCTTCAGCATTTGATTTTAAACAACAACCAGCTAAGCAGCATTTCTGATGAAGCCTTTGAGGATTTTTTACTGACTTTGGAAGACTTAGACCTTTCCTACAATAACCTCCGAAGCATTCCCTGGGAATCTATAAGAAAGATGATAAACTTGCACCAGCTCAGTTTAGATCACAACCTAATAGATTATATAACAGAGGGGACATTTGCAGATCTTCAGAAATTGGCCAGATTGGATCTAACATCCAACAGACTTCAGAAGCTCCCCCCTGACCCTATATTTGCCAGATCACAAGTAATGCCATTGGTTGTTACCCCATTTTCACCACCTCTGTCCCTCAGCTTTGGGGGAAATCCACTGCATTGCAACTGTGAGCTGCTGTGGTTAAGGCGGCTTGACAGAGACGACGACATGGAAACTTGTGCTTCCCCTCCGAGTCTAAAGGGAAGGTACTTCTGGTACGTACGGGAAGAGGAGTTTGTTTGTGAGCCTCCTCTTATTACACAACACACTCACAAGCTGCTGGTTTTGGAGGGACAAACTGCCACGCTGAAGTGCAAAGCCATTGGGGACCCCAGCCCCATCATTCACTGGGTGGCCCCTGACGACCGTCTCATTGGAAACTCCTCGAGGACAGCTGTCTATGACAATGGCACCCTCGATATCCACATCACCACCTCCAAGGACTACGGGACTTTCACCTGCATAGCAGCCAATGCTGCAGGAGAGTCCACTGCAACGATTGAGCTCTCAATTGTCCAGCTCCCCCACCTCAGCAACGGCACAGGCAAAGCAGCTCCGCCGAAATCCAGGCTCTCGGACATCACCAGCTCCACCAAGACCAATCGTGGTGAAACAAAAGGTCCACCAGAAAGGGCTGTCCTGGTGTCAGATGTGACCACTACCTCAGCTTTGGTCAAGTGGACAGTCAGCAAGTCGGCCCCTCGGGTAAAAATGTATCAGCTGCAGTATAACTGCTCAGATGATGAAGTCCTGATCTACAGGTAAATGCATTTTTTGTTTGATCCTCTGATGATAGCAGGGGGCAGAAATCAAAATAAGAAATCTTCTACTCTTTGACTTTTTACCAATATGACTTAGAACTGAGATGGCACGGTGACCAGTAGCATTAGTGGTATTTGATAAATTTGCATTCTCTCTGTCAGTTTGCCTGTTGGTCTGTTGTTCATTTCTTTTCTGTCCAAGTTATACATTGCAAATCTCTGTAGTACTCATTTTCCAACAGCTGTTTTCAGTAAAATTATCAATTTGGGAAAAAAATAGTACTGCAGTTGGTAGCCTCCTTAGTAGGCTTAACAAAGAAAGGAAAACTTGAAGACTAGAAGTCAAAAATTTCCCTTTCCACCTCCTGTAGGTGGGATTGAAACAGACTACTTAGAGAGGAAGCAGCGTGGGAGGAAGTTTGTGCTGTCTACCCATAACACAGGCTCTAATTATTCTGTGATTCAAGATTTGGGGTTGCTAACAAGACATTTTTCACCTATATGAAAAAGCTTGTTTCTTATTTCACTAACATCTGTTCTACACAACCGTAATGGCTGAAAACTTTGGAGCACTTAGTTTTTTATACAATATTAAATACAAGAAGAGGTAGATATAATTTCAAAAGCAAACCCTGAGTCTTCCTTATGATCCTCCAGTTCCAAAACTATTAGAAGCTCTGACTTCTAATGATGTAAAGCAGGAATTGCTCTTGCAGTGAAGCAGAAATAAATTTTTAGTGACTAAAAATATGTAGGAACAGTACAGGAAAACAGTACTACTGTTTTTTCCTTGTGTATTGGAAGAATGATTGACATATTCATGCTAGTGATGAATCCCTAGAAACCGTCTTGTCCTTCCTTTTTATTGCAAAGTTTCATTGACCTGAACTGTATCTTTGGTTGTATATGATCTACCAGCAGAAGTCAGAATCTCATGGAAAAAATAGAACCAAACATATCAACTCTTATAGCTTTATAAGCATCCTGAAGCAGTGGAGAAAAATTGGATCTGATAGAGATATAATGGGATTTGGGGTTTGAATCTAATTTGAGAATAAACTGTGGCCAAAATAAGTCAAGGGCATTCGTTTTCATGGTAGGTTTGGTGTCATTGCCTGGTGGCTATTCTGTTCTGCTGCCTGCAGGGAGAGCCAAGGCACTCATCAAGTCATGGTACTTGGCCTCCAGATCCCACCACAAGCCTTATTATTTTCTTCTTTATCACAGGGTGGTTTTACTTAGCATGAGGAAGTTAAAGGAGAGGTAGTAAATATTCACATTACATATTTCACTCACCCTTCTCCTGCAATGAGATCTAATTTTAAAGATTCTCCAGAACAGAATGTTTAGTTGATGTGGACAAACAAGTACTGCCAACAGTACCTTTATCTGAGTCAGTTGTAGAACAGAAATAATAAAGTAATCAATTTGGGTATTCCAAATTCACTCAGTCATTGCCAAAAGCAGGAATATTGACCAGCAAGTCCAAAAAAAATTTTTTTAAGGATATTTATTCAAATACTGAGTTAATCTGAGGAAATTCAGTTCTGTCCATCTCCATTCCTCAGTTATAAAAATATCTTGAAATAAATAAATTAGAAAGTGAAAATTATTTCTTTTGCTCTGGCTAATGTACAGTGGAACCAGTGTGTTAGTTTTGGGAATTGCAACTATGTAGAATTAAGCAGAATGAAAGGATAAGATAAAGTTAAGTAATGATGCAGTATTAGGAATAGAATGGAAGAGAACATGCTAGTGCAATTTTTTTCACAAGGCAATGCTTTTGGCAAAAGCTCAGCAGTAATTAAGCTCTTAAACACAGTGTAAGGCTGAAAAACACTCTGAAAGATGTATAAATCATATATTCATTGTAAAATTAATTTGGCCCAGTGAGCAGGAATATTCCTGCAACCAGAAAGAGAAGTTTGCAGGGGTAGTCATATGTTGAAAATGGTTGGATGTGTCAATTTGCTAGGAAGGAAATGGCCAGGGTTAAAAAAAACAATCCATGCAAAAGCACTGATATAGCCTAGGAGCTGGATGGGTGAGAATTGGGTGCCAAGGGCAGAAATTAAGAAAGATGCCATCTTGCCAAACTGGTCTGGAAGAAAAAGTTGCTGTCAAGATTTTAGGCAACCCCAAAAGGTTTTATTATGTCCCCACTTCCATCCCCCAGTGAGGTTTTGTGCCTCTGCTGTTTTATTTGGTTGTGGCTCAGTTTTTCAGAAGCCCACTGAGGACAGTGTTATTTTGAAAAATCTCCCATCAGGTTTTTTTTTTTTTTGAGGATTCACTGATGATGCATAGCTCTTTTCATTCACAGCTCTCAAAAGCACTTCACCAAAGAAAATTTTTTTTTTTTTCTCTACATTTTGCACCAGGGAAAAATGAAGCTTAGAAAGATGAAGTGATTGTCCAGCATCTGAGAGTTAATCAATGGTACTCATAATATCAAACCCAGTCCTTACAACTTCCAGTCAGGGTACCACTCAGTCCCTTAGAGTTAATTAACTAAAGCTGTTTTGCTTTAATTGGTCAGATGCGTATCACTGCAATGAGTGTGTGGAAAAACCTAAGGGAAAAGGATTTCTACAGTGCTCTGCTCCATAAAATGCTGTATATGTGCTAAATGGGATGTGGTACTGCTTAGCTGCTAAAATGATGGGCACTTAATGTACAGTAAGACAGTCAGTATTCCAGGACTGAGACACATCAGCTGTGCTCAGCTTCACTAGCAAGAAATGTATGCAAAAAAGACAGAAATCTGCTGCTCTCTCTGCTAAGAATTTTTCATTAATATTGTACTCATTGAGAAAGAGTGAAAGCAGAAGTTCTCCCCTCCTCATTTTTTTCAACTTCTCTCCTGATCATTACCCAGGATACCAGTCCCATTTTCCCTTCCATGCCAGCTGTGATTTTCCCCTGGCAGGATGGTGCAAAAGGGGACTACAGTAGGGTGCAATGGCTCAATAAATATTCAAGTTTTGGTACATTCTGGCAAATGTTGTCTGCTGGGCCTCCCATTGTCACTGAGCTGAAATGGTACCAGCATCTGAAGTTTGGCTTTGAATAAACCAATGCTATTCTAATGAAGGAGGAGCACTGTTTGCTTGCTTTCCCATCTGACCTTGGCTTGTATTTGCTATCTCAGGGCCTTTGCTCAAGCTCATAGCAGGTTTTTATCTATTTCAATGCATTCAGGGTACATGTTTCTGATTGTGGTCTAATGAGTAGGTCCTGGGTCTGCATTCTGAGGGTTTTAATTAAGGAGTCTTTCCATTCTTTCATCTTTTCTGAAATACCAACACCAGTGCTAGTAAATGCATATTGTATCCATCACTTTTAGCCGAGACCAGAAGCTTGTTACAAATTGCAGAACTGAAAATCACTCCTTATTTGAAGGGAAAACATATAGAAAGAGTAAGCAATGTCCAATAGATAAAGAGATGGAATAAGACCAAGGTCTACCAAAAATTGTCTGTCCTCTCAGTCAGGACTCCAAAGTGTTTTAGATGTGTAAAAGCATCAGATTTCAGATCAGTGCAACATATACACTGGTAAGCTTAATTCATTTTGAATAAGGAATTGAAATTAAATATAAATGTTTAAAAAATAATACCTTTGAGTCTCAGTTTCCCATATGTAACCTGGGTGACAGCACCACCTTACTTTATGGGGATAAACACATTAGAAAATATTATGGAACCAGGAGCCCACATAAATAAACAGGGAGACTTGCTTTGAAGTCATTGTGTGGTCTGCAGCAACGGGGATAGTCATGAATGATTAAGATGGAGGATTACATAACTGCAACACTTGAATTCAAGTAAGGCATCTGGAGAGAGAGATTGTGTTTTTCTCATGCATAGAGCACCCTACATGATGGGGGACCAACTCTCAGTTTTGGCCGGCAGGCATTGCTGTAATAGATACATTCACTACTTTTTCAAAAGTGAATAAATCTGCAAGTGTTTTGTAGAACTTCTCAGGTCATACTGAGCCTTCTGGCTGTGTTTTGAATTAAAGCAAAGATGCAGCCATTTAAAAATGTGCATCTAAATTGCGACACTGCCATTAGATTTATGAGAGATTTAGGTCTGTTTTATTTTGTGTTATTTCATAGTAAAAATGATGAAAACAGCTGTACAAATTAAGAATTACTGTAGTGCTATAGTCTCCCTAACTTATAAATTCAGCACTAGGCAAAAGTATTTTATATGTTTCTGAAAGCTTATTTTTTAAATATATATTTTACGTAGCAGGCAGTCTAACCATTAAAATATGAATAAATGGCTCCACATCTCCAGTTTATTTAAACAATGGTGCCATGGATTTGATTACTTAAACAATATAATAATGATTTATATTTACACAGGTCCTTTTACTGCAAGTACTTTACAGGGTGGCTGAACAGAGATCCCCACTATCCTGTTGCCTCTCAGTTAAATATTGGCTGCAGTTTAGCAGTCTGCAGGTGATTGTTCAGTTCTTTTTCATGAGCAAAAAATAGCTTCAGCATTTGCACTCATGGATTCTTTAAGCTAGGGAGGAAGTAATTAACTGAGCTTGAATTTCCCACAGCATGGTGGTATAAATATACTCATGCACTCTTCTAGTCAACTGCATGTCAATAGGAAAGTGTTTCATGACTGAGGTGCTGCAAACTTCAGGAACATCTAATTCATGTAAGGAGGCTCTCTCAAGCAGCAGTGCCACACTGAGCATCAGAGAGGATGCCATTTCTAATGCTTCTTGCAAGGAAAGTCCATTGTGGGGAGATCTTCCAGCTCAAGACTGAAAACAGAGGAAGCCCTGTCCTGTTGCTGGTAGGGAAAATTGTCTCAACGGCCTGATGCTGTAGCAAAGTGTGTTTGTGTCACTTTCTCTCTGAGGAAAGTTAGAAGTGCAGAGTACTGGTTAGCTTTGGAAAAGACAGAGGATTCATTTATTCTGAAACACCCAAACATCTGTCCTTACTTGTGATATGGTCATTGGGTTCA